ATTGGATCTAAACTACATGTGAGATGTTTATCTAGAGTGTAATAAACTTATCTGATGCTGCTCGCTGCCTTCTGGCAGAGTCAGCGTCACTCTCCCCGTGACACATCCCTACTAATATTATAAATGCGAAAGTAACTCTGTCTGTCTGTCTGTCTGTCTGTCTGTCTGTCTGTCTGCTACGCTTTCACGCCTAAACCACTGAACTGATTTTAATGAAATTCGGTACAGAGATAGAGTTGACCTTGAGAAAGAACATAGGATAGTTTTTATCCCAGACTTTTGAAAGGTTCTCTTGGAAACGCGATATAACCGAACTCCACGCGGCGAAGCTGCGGGCGGAAAGCTAGTACATAAATAAATGTAGTCTGTCTGTTATTTTATTAAAGAAAACTATAGGAGTATATCTTGTGTAACTTATAAGGCGATTTCAAGGCATTAAAAACAATAATGACTGACTTTTAAATTAGGATAACAACTGATTGATTTGAAAAACTTTTTTTTAATTTAATCATAGTGACAATTTGTTGCGGTAGTGAAAATCTAATAATTGGCAATAGATAATCCCACGCATTGCTATCAAAGCAGACGAAATTAAAAACTAATTTATTTCTGAATTTAATCACGTTTAAAGAAATTTCTTTGAATTAGTAATTATTTAGTGTTAAATTTATTACTAATTGTGAAAAAATACCATTAAAGTCGTTAATTTGGAAAATATTTCAGTTTAAACTTTTTCCGTCAATATGCTTCAAATGTAGATACGCAGAATTAACTAATGCTAACGCGGATTTGCACTATGCCCGATGTATTGCTGATTAATTAGTATTCCTCTTAAATGTACTCCATTTAATTATATTAAAACAAAATTAATCTAATGATATCATCCATTTTTTTTCTGACGATCACCACAAACCGTTTAACAAACACAATTGCATTCCTTTTATCGTAAAAGTTAAATCAAATCAGCAACTATCATTATAACTAGATCGCGCCATCTGGCGGCATTTAACTGATAATACAATCAAACTTAACATAAATACAAGTTACGTCCCCCGTCTCCGCTCGTTGTTCCTCCCTATCCATTAACACGTCCAATGAAAACTTGCCATTATAAATTTTTATAAATTAAACTTATTGAAGTGAATCCATTTTGTTTTACAATATAATTAAATTGTGAAAATTATAATGGCTTCATTATAAACGATTTATTATTGTTTTCTTTAAAGGAAATATGTTGTATGTATGTTTTCTATATAATATATTATAAATATAACAATTTTGTAATAAAATATGATCAGCTTACATGTACCGAGTCCCTTACTGATTTGAAAAAGTATTTTAAAACATACATTTTATATATTATTTTGGTAACATAAGCATAGTTTAGTAATTATTTTCTCTTTTCATTTATCAATATGTATATATGTTTATATACTTATATAAAGAGATACTTACATTTTATCTCATATTTTTATCATTTGCTTGTCTTATAACATATTATTGTTTTATACGACTATCCTTTATGGTCAGATTAAAGCATGAAGCACAAATAAAGAAATAAATAGTGTAAAATACAATAAGTAAAGGAATTTTATACATAATCAAATACGTATTTGGACAAGGTCTTTCAGGCACAGGAGGGTAATTGAAATTATGACGTCATGAAAATGTATGAAATATTTACGTCAATATAAAGAAAGTCGTGTTAGTTACACTATTTATAACTCAAGAACGACTGTTTACACCGGGCACTTCACTGTTGATGAATCAAATCGATTTATTTTACTTTTTATATATACTAGTTTATGTCAGCGACTTCGTATGTGTTAATTTCGATATTAGTAATGTATGTATAGCTGACCGGGCGACACTATTCCGCCTTAGAGGCCGTTAATAAACAGATATTGGAATTTGCTAAGTATTTTTTCTTTTTATATCGAACAAAATTAAGTATCCTATGTCCGTCTCCCTGTTCTAAGCTATCTCTTCACCAATGTTCAACTATATCCCTACAGTCGTTCTTGAGTTATAAATAGTGTAACTAACACAACTTTCTTTTATATAAATAGATCCTTCCTTCTAGCTGGCAATTTCCCAGCTTTAGCCAGGGTCTACCTTACATGTTATAAATAGTTTTGTCTAATTGTTTTTACGACCGGCCCGCCTGCCTGACATCAACCCTCTATGGGAATGCATTAATCAGTGATGTCTAAATACTCTTAAAAAGTACATATGACTCGGAAAAATCACATTGATACTTGCTAGGATCGAACCCGTGCCCTCATGCATGAGAGGCGGGCCTTTTAACCACTAGGCCACCACTAACTTGTCTTGACTTACATAGATATATAATATAATTGTTTGTCGGTGGTTCCAATAGTGTTACCAGTGGTTCTCGTCCACCCACACTAGGGTCCAGATAGTCGGTTCCCGTGTCTGCAGATCCTATAAAGATATCGGGTATCGGAGACGCAATAAATATTAATTGACCGTCCAGAATCCAGATTGTTATGGTCAGGGGCGATGACCCTTCACCAACCAAATTAGCGGATTTATATCGCTTCTGTTGCTCGGTTTGTTTACATTGATGTTGGAGCTTTGTTCGACAAGAGAGTTTGTCAATTTATTTTTATTTTGATTTTTGACCAAATTTAATAGATGTTATCAATTTTTAATATATTTAACATACATAAGATATAAGACTTTAGCGAGTATTCATTTAAATGTAACTAATATTTTTCGGATATATTTCGAAGTACCTATGTAGTTTTTTTATAAAAATAAAGCACGCGTAGTATATCAGAACAATATTAGTTTCATTTAAATTTAACATACACAACAGATTCTAAGCATTGAGTAATATTATTGTAGATATTTTTTTTAACATTTTTCGCTTTTAACTTTAAAATTACATAAAAATCAGTGCTTAATTATGTTGTAGTAGTTTTTAATGCAATGAATAGTCTTCTGTGTTAGGTTTAGAGACAAATGTATAAGGGACATGTCACCTAACTCTTAACTTAAGCCTTGTAATAAGTAATTTCATACACAATACAACTTTTGTTTTTATAGGCGGTAACCACGCAGAGTAAAGGGATAAAATATAGCGTAAATCCTAGTCTGAAGTCTGAACTACATTATTGTAAAGTTTCATCACATTCCGTTCAGTAGTTTTTGTGTGACAGAACAAAAAACATGTCATCGATTATATTACAGTTGTACAAACTATAAGATACTATTTATGTATTAAAATCATTTTTTACTTCTTTAACAGACCTCATTACACGACAACCTCCTTGTATATTTTTTTACTTTCAGCCAGTGTTATAAAGACGAAAATCGAAAAGGTTAATAAGAAAATCATTTACAGTCTATGTAAGGGTCGAAGATGGCGATTAAAATATAAACTTTATAATTGTTTTAATATCTTCTCTTCTATATATATAAAAATGGATTGCTGTTCCTTAGTCTCGCTAAAACTCGAGAACGGCTAAACCGATTTGGCTAATTTTAGTCTTGAAATACTCCTGGAAGTCCAGGGAAGGTTTAAAAGGTGAGAAGAATTGGAATAATTGCCGGGAAAACATTAAAAACAGCCCTTTTCTATATCCCATACAAACGATTTTTTGACATTAGACTTGACAACTAACTAATATGTCAATCATTCTGTTTGATTGAAATAGTAGAAATTTAATAAATACCTTTTTTAAATTTGCCCGGTCAGCTATACCTATTTTACTAAATGACGAAATTAAGGCGGTCGAAGTCGCGGGCAAAAACTAGTATATATATATATTTTTCAATACATTATGTAGTTGTATGATAAACAATATCTTTTCTGAGTGTTATAAAGCCGTGTTTCGTTGTTAGTGGGAGTGCCTCCCACAGCCAATACGCGGTGAGCCAACAGGTGGGCAGGAGGCCGCCATTTTGTTCTGACGACCTCACACTCCGGACCTCAAAGTAAAGTGATAAAAATACATACATACTCCATCACCAGGCTTCGTCTTACATATATCGAGTACATTATGTAATCCCAATACACAATATAATATTTACTTTTGAGTATTTACAGTACATGTTGTAGAAGATGCATAAGAGTTTATTAATATCGTCTTAGAAATGAGATTAATAGAAGATAATGGTCATAAAAAAGGTTTATTTATAAAAACAATGAAGTTAGCTACAGACGAAAGGCTTGAGAAAACTCGAAAAGTACTATAAACTGTGGTTGGTAGTTAAAATTAAACTTAATACTACTGAACGACCTGCTCGATGTCTGTATGTTTATATAATTCATACGTATTTTGTATCCCCGATATATGTAGCTACAGGCTGCGGAAATGAATTGTTACACTTGTATGTAACAAAAGAAACAAACAAGGTAGTTTTATTGTTATTAATTATTGTTAAACAATAAGAAATTAGCACAGTAAATATATACATATTAAAGAGTGTATAAAATACTTTTTATATTATGTTAATTAAAGTATAATATTATATGAAGAGTCTTCGTTAAATACTGTTAAGATTTTCATTCAATCAATAAAGAAATTATTCTTTCAGCGCCAAGTCTTATAATAGACAATGCACACTTTATTAAAGATTCGACTAAAAATTACATGAAGACACATTTAGCCATAGAGTTTTAATATATTATTCATTTAAATGAAACTAATATTTTTTGTATATACTACGCGTGCTTTATTTTTGTAAAAAACTACATACTCCGACGTTTCAACAACCGTGATCAAAATATTAGTTTCATTTAAATTAATACTCGCGAAAGTTTACATCTCATTTTATTTATTTCAGTCTTTATATTTTTGATATCAAAACTTAAACTTTCACTAAAACTTTACATTCCTCTCACATTTCTAATTAACAATAAAACGTCATTGATACAAAGAAAAACACTTTTATTTACATTCAAACTTTATAACAATTTGACTGACAAAACAGAACAATTCTTGACATCCACAGTGATGATTTCCTTTACATCACGTGATCCTCATCATCACCAGGAGTATAGTGATCCAGTGCTGCAGGTGTTGTAGGTGCAGGTGATGAGTGATGTTGCACCAGCTGCCCGTACACACACACGCGTGGAACCGGGCGTACAGAGATATACCGCGGGAGAGAGGCACCAGGGTCGCCATCGGACTTATTATACAACCATTCTCCACGTTCTGGTGGATACGAACACATCTATAGTTAACCTTACCATCAGTTTAGGAACATACTATCGCGTGTGAACTGTTTAAATTGAGTTTCTATGACACAGTAGTAGTAGCTCACTGTTTATGAAAGTACGGCTAAGATGAGCGAATGGAAAGCTATGAATGTATACCAATATTCTAACAAGAAGATGAATCTGTCATAGAAGTCAAGTTTTATATATTATATTGAACAGCATGTATGCTTGTCATCATCAGAACCTTTTTATTTATTTATTAATTTTCTCATATACTATACTGATGTGTTATGTTAAGAGACTACACTGTGTTCATTTATTCAGGTCAATATTTACCTAAACTATACATAGACTGATCTTCACAAAAGTAAACTAAGTAACATAAAAAATATACTATAGGAATACTTCCTAACCACCTAAAATATGACACACATACACACATACCCACAGACTCCTCTCGAGCTTGGCCATCCTCTTGCTGCCAAAGTGTAGCCCCATGGTGGGCTGCAGCCTGTTCCTGCAAGTTCTCTGTGTGTAAACTCCGCTCAGGTCAATCCAGCGGACCGCGCAGCCCCCGGTCCAGCGGCCCAGGATCACCCGGGGCTGACTCGCGTTGAGTTGATACCCCGGCCTGGACATACAGACAGAAATATACTCTCATATATAATATATATGGTCGTGGTGGCCTCTCGTGCATGAGTCCGCGGGGTCGAAACATAGCACATACCAATGTGATTAATCCAAGTCATATGTACTGTCTAAGATTTAGACACCACTGACTGATGAAGTAAAACATCGTGAGGAAACCTGGACTAATAATTTACAATTATAGTATGTTTGAAATCACCAACCCGTTGCCAAGCGTGGTGATTAATGCTCTAACCTTCTCCATGTGAGAAGAGGCAGTTCAGCAGTGTGCTCTGATAGAATGAAGATGGTCTAATATATAAATAAATCATTTAAAATCACTAAAACAGTACAAGCAGAGTCCAAGTATCTGTCATTTTTATATGTATTATAAGACCAGAGTTATCTCTTATAGTTTCCTCAGTATTCGTAAACAGTAAATCATAATTTGCTATGTTAATGTGGTTCAATGAGGCGTCTCGGTTTAATCGCGAGGGTGGGACCTCTCCCCTCGGCTCCCTCCTCCAAGTTCCTCGTGATTTATGAAGCTGTTCGTGAATACATCAGGCGCTCGTTGGCGGTCCTTGGCTCGCTGCCACCGAGACGTGGCGTTACAAACAACTCTTATATAATACATAACTAGCTGTCAACCCGCAGCTTCGCCCGCGCTGAGTTTGGTTATATCGCGTTTCCAAGAGAACCTTTCAAAAGTCTGGGATAAAAACTATCCTATGTTCTTTCTCAAGGTCCACTCTATGTCTGTACCGAATTTCATTAAAATCAGTTCAGTGGTTTAGGCGTAAACGCGTAACAGACAGACAGAGTTACTTTCGCATTTATAATATTAGTAGGGATGTAGTATTGGTGCTTCTCTCGTCACGCCTTTGAGGCTCTATATGTACCTATTTAATTGAGGATTTTTTCATTAGTAATAGAGGTTTTTGTATCTTAATGATGACGGAATTATAGGCTCTTAGTCTGAACACTTGGGATTAAATTCGAGGACATAAATTAAAATACATAATTTTTCAATGAGTAAAAAAAATGTCAAGTACCTAGTGTTTTAAGATTTTTTATGAATTTAAAGTAAAACTAGATGAATGAATTAGCATACATATTTCTATATTTTTATCTATATTAACTATCTATCTATCATGTGTTCGATGTCATGTAATAACTATAAAATAAATAAAATAATACATCATTTACCTTCACACGAGAAATAGAGATTATATCATAATTAAACCATTAATAAAAGAAAAATTAAAAATAGTTCGTGTTTTGGGATTTGACCTTCTAAGATCGCCATTATTATCTGATTATTGACCTTTCATTGTCAACCATTTCATGTGATACATAATGTTTATTTCCATACTATTACCTGAAAGTAAAGCGGCGTGCTTTACTAGTCTTATGTTCACAATATATTAAGGTATATACTGTGACGTCATTAAGTTAAAAGAAACATTTTAAATAACACTTTTTACCCAATAGTCTTGTATGCTTACCCTAAATGTACATCGTCACTACACACATTTAACTTTAAAAATATGTTCGTACATATTTATATATAAAAGAAAGTTGTGTTAGTTACACTATTTATAACTCAAGAACGACTGTACGAATATGGATGAACATTGGTGGAGACGTAGATTAGAATATGGAGACGGATGTAGGATATTTAATACTGTTCGATCGAAATGTCTAAAAAAAACATTATAAACTCAACTTGTAGTACGCGTATTGATTATTGAAAATTTAGGAGCAAATGTGGGAGCATCGTAGCGGGTCGTAGACAGGATCTACAATTAGCTACGACACGCGCTACACTCCGTACAGATACAATTGAGTCGAAACCTCTCATCATTCAATATATTCACGGTGCGTGTGTCGGGTCCATCGTTGTAGTGAGAGGAGCTTCAACAGTGACTGGGACTTGTGACCCAGGTGTAGGTTTAATATATATAGAGAGACGAAACCTCTCATCATTCAATGTATTCACGGTGCGTGTGTCGGGTCCATCGTTGTAGTGAGAGGAGCTTCAACAGTGACTGGGACTTGTGACCCAGGTGTAGGTTTAATATATATAGAGAGACGAAACCTCTCATCATTCAATGTATTCACGGTGCGTGTGTCGGGTCCATCGTTGTAGTGAGAGGAGCTTCAACAGTGTCTGGGACTTGTGACCCAGGTGTAGGTTTAATATATATAGAGAGACGAAACCTCTCATCATTCAATGTATTCACGGTGCGTGTGTCGGGTCCATCGTTGTAGTGAGAGGAGCTTCAACAGTGACTGGGACTTGTGACCCAGGTGTAGGTTTAATATATATAGAGAGACGAAACCTCTCATCATTCAATGTATTCACGGTGCGTGTGTCGGGTCCATCGTTGTAGTGAGAGGAGCTTCAACAGTGTCTGGGACTTGTGACCCAGGTGTAGGTTTAATATATATAGAGAGACGAAACCTCTCATCATTCCATGTATTCACGGTGCGTGTGTCGGGTCCATCGTTGTAGTGAGAGGAGCTTCAACAGTGACTGTGACTTGTGACCCAGGTGTAGGTTTAATATATATAGAGAGACGAAACCTCTCATCATTCCATGTATTCACGGTGCGTGTGTCGGGTCCATCGTTGTAGTGAGAGGAGCTTCAACAGTGACTGGGACTTGTGACCCAGGTGTAGGTTTAAGGGACTCCTATCTAACGCGCGTTATACGCTCACCTCCACTGTACAAGCTCTTCTCAATACCTAACCAAATTTGAAAAGAACCTACTAGGGCCCACCCATATATACAGGGTGACTGGTGAATTACTATCGATATTTGAGGAAGTGATATTTGACGATTATATATGACAAAATAAAAATTAATATAACATAAATATTAATAAACTTCTAAGTAAAGTTAACCAAAAGTTATGTAATTAATTACGCATCGTATGAACACCCTACAGATTAGGTATACACACACACACACACTCGCGCGCGGCGGCGTGTTGTTGTATCAGCACGCCGCCGCACGCGTCCACACTTGGAACACTTGGAACGTGTACACACTTTATTTATTTATACGGAAATTTGGTCAAAAATTAAGTACCTATTTTTTTTACATAATTCGAATGAGAATCATGTACTGAGTATGCTCCTTAAATATTGATAGTAATTCACCAGTCACCCTGTATAATATAAAGTAGGAATGTCTGTCTATAATATTAAAGGAACCGTTTTATAACTTGTCAATATACATACGTATGTAACAAAATGCATATTTATAACTTTTTATCCCTATGTATGTTCCGGCTAATCTCTGAAAAGGTTGGAATTATTTTGACAAAATTTACACTAGCAGATAGCTGATGTATCAGACAGTGATATAGGCTAGTTTTATTTAGAATTTTTTATTAATTGATAATTACAATAATTAATAAAGCAAATAGTGACCAGCAGAGCGAGTATACGTATGAACAGTTCTTTGTACTCACACGTTAGAGTACTGGCAGTACTTCTTGAACCTGGAGATCTTCCCCTTGGCCGTGGGGTCCACCGGTACCAGCGGTAGGAAGTCCCCCGCGAAGGCATCGGCGCAGTGAGCGTTCTGTGGTATGGCGGGCGTCGAGAGACCACACACGAAACACTGACAACGAGGCGACCAGTTTAAACTGACTATTGACTTGACTGATCAGCGTATAATACGACAGGTCTGCTTGGACTAGTTGCTGAGGTTATATACCGTTGGAAGTTTCCTACGGAACCTATATATATATAGTCTAGATGATATGGACGCAGTTTATTGTTTGTCCATTAGATTTTCTATTTTGTATACTAGCCAGTGTCTATCATCATCTTCTTGGACTACCAAATAAGGTTTGAGAAAAACAAATAACATTTTTGTTGATGAGTAAAATCAGTGTCATCTACAGTCTTGATGCATTTTGTCCAACTCCTCGGAATGAGTGATGTATTGTAATCTAGTTATTATTATGAAACATGAGAGTTTAATCAGAATCCGTTCAAGAACAAGAACTGTGACGTCATCGACCACAGAAACATGAGGATTGTGATTGAAATCACTGGCCTAGTTATTTAGTATACGAGTGCCCAAAACCCCCTGAGTCTCTCTTCACCTTGGCGATGACGCTGCCGGTGTAGTTAGCGTCATACTCCGAGGTGACGCGCGGGAGGGCTGTGGGCGTGCTGCAGGTGGGCAGCGTCATGTTGACCAGCGTGTCGTTCAGCTTCCTCGTGAGGTTGGACTCGAACTCGCTGGCCAGCTCCGAGATGATGGCCAGCAGCCGCGGTAGGTCCAGCTCCTGCTTCCTTACTGACGCGTTAGTATCTATAATAATATAGACGCGCTATAGGCGGGGGTAGTAGTGAGACAGTGACTAGTTTAATTTTTTTATGTGATAGCTGGCAAACGATCAGACGGCCTACTTGATGGGCAGTAGTTACCGTCACTCATAGACATCTTCAACATCTCTGTTGCTAATGCGTTATCAACCTTCGTTTTTGAGGAAAAGGCAGAAGTGGGAATAAGGAAATGGCAGGAAGGGGTGGGAACAGGGAAAGGGCAACCGTCTCTCTCAACCATCAGACGAAACGCAGCCATTAAAAACTTCATTTCTCTCTTCTGTGAGAGACTGGTACTTCCCTGGTCGTGCCAGCACATGTTACTTGTTCACAGCTAGGCTGGACCATATTGGCTACTTACTTTGAGGAGTAGAGTCTCCTCCACTGAGTGTCATCGCAGTGGTGTTCTGCGTGGTGGTGGGGGGGGTCCATTTTGTGTCATCTAATTCTGTCCAGTTCTTTCTTCTCAGTTGCTTGTCATCCCCCCGTTCATGGTCCGTTATCTTGATGATCTCCGTGAGTAGGTCCGTCATGTAGGTCGATGTTTTGGGGCTGGTGTAGTTATAGCTCGGGTCGTATGTGGTGCTGACGGTGCTGGTCCCACCGGTCTGCGAGGTGACATGTGGAGTGAAAGGATTCTCCAGGGTCATGCCAGAGAACAACTGTTTGAGTGCACCTGTGGGTCACACAACCGTCATTAGCATGTATCAGTGATCTCAGCAGTACGTCTACTCGTTACTCATCATACCCCTGACTTCCCTGACGTCTTCGGGGCTGAGCGTCTTGAGAGCGTCTTCAGCTCCATACCTTCGGATCCTGTTGATGGTGAACCCTTCAGATGTCGGAGTCGTTGATGTTTCTTCATCTAGAAATAGAATTTGATATTAACTTTATAATATATATGTATACTAGCTGCGACCCGCGGTGTTACCCGCGGATTTCCGGGATTTCCGAGATTTCCGGGATGTAAAGTAGCCTATGAGTTATTCCTGGACGTCAGCTTCCTGTATACAAAATTTTATCAAAATCGGTTGAGCCGTTTGAGCGTGAAGAAGTAACAAACATGCACACACACTCACAAACTTTCGAAATTATAATATTAGCAGGATGTATAAATTATTAATTTACGCGTCTAAGACGAATTGAAATTTTGTAAATAAATAAATAAATTTATTTTTTTATTATAATAAGACCGATCAGAAAACACGAAGATATTAAAAACTATATAAATCCTAGTATTATGAGATACAGTCTCACTAAAGCGTCTTGTAATGGTTTTGACGAACAACTGAAACTCAGAGATAAAAACATATTTTGTTCCATGTGATACATAAATAATACAGCCTCAAGAACAGACACACGTAACAAATAATATATATAAGGTATAATAAAAACATAACAAAGAAAAGGTTTCGTCTGATGATTTATAAGATTGTTGAAACGAAACTACTGATGAAGTTCTTTCATATGAAAACCCTTATTGTTATAAAGCATATCGTAAACACTTTGAAATGTTATACGGTGGCTTGTTGGTCATATTTTCCATACTTATATCTACAATATACATATAATATGTGTATACATATTTCCGTGCAAGTACCAATGTGATTTTTCTGAGTCATATGTACTTTTAAAGAGTATTTAGACATCACTGATTAATGCATTCCCAAAGAGGGTTGATGTCAGGCAGGCGGCCGGTCGTAAAAACAATTAGCCAAAACTATTCACAACATGTAAGGTAGACCCTGACTAAAGCTGGGAAAATTGCCAGGAAGAAGATATACATAATCCAATCCAATGAATTTCAACAAAACTTAGCCATATTGCCACTAAGATTTCGTTACTATATATTTCTAAAATTACCAATCATTATATGAACTAAAACCTTCCTCTACCGTTATTGTTCACTAACCATCATCGTATCCCTCATACTCTTGATAATCATCATCATCGTCATCATAGCTGAAGGCTCCCAGCACCAACACCAGAACTACCAGCACTCCTGGCACCTGGAACAGCATCTGGGAAACATCCAGCACCTGCACTGGTTGTAACAGAACATATATATATTAAAATCACATTATAAGATACAATTTATCACAATGAATGTACAAGAAAGTGACGCGGCGATGACGTGAGGAGGTCCCGAGAAAAGAGGTTTGATTTAAAAAGATTTAAATTAAAATGTTTTAACATAAACATTATGTTTAACTTTACAATGACGCGGTTATGTATTGATCACTAAAATATTTGTTGCTGGGTCATAACTCCTGTTAAGAAGATGATAGTCTGTGGTCAAAAAGCTTGTAAAATATGATCAAATCAATATATATTAATTCTACTTGTATCTGTTAAGATACTTAATATGTTGTAATTTTATATGACAGACAAATAATTAGAAAAAGTCCACTGGATAACCACAGTTGAACATTTAACAGAATGTTTTTGACTGGAAATATAAAACACTCTCCCTGGCTGCTCTGCCAAGAATCTTACACAACAGACGTTGTTATGTAAGGTGAGTTATGAAAAATAATATTGTAATACATTTCTAAACAGAAAAGCCTTTTAGTCGAAACAATAAAAGTCAAAAATAAGTCGTAGAAACGTACAATTCTCTTGGCAATATTCACCAAACCCTTAATGTATCCAAATAGCCTTATTTTTGCCAAAAACAGCCTCGTCGAGATGAAATAAGCCGATAGTGCATAATAAATATATTAGGGGATGAGTTGGTGAGTTACAGGGAAAGTTTGGGGATAAATTTAGTCTCGAGGCAAAACACGACAAGATGGCGCCCGCCCGACTGACGCCGTGCTTCAGACATACTAACGACGGCCCACCAATTATAATATAAACCTTAAAATCTATATAATAAAGTCGAAATTCGCATATCCTTTTAAAACGCTTTCAGTATTGACTTTTCAACATACTATCCATCTTTTCTACTGAAATACAACTACAGGCTGAAACCAACTTTATTACAAATAAAATAGAGTACATATTCATTCGTATTATAAATCAACTATTAATATTTCTCATGGCGTACTCCTGTCTGGGTGGCGCCAAGTATATTTGGGTGTGATCCAAACAATTTTAAGTCTTATCTACTTAAAATAAAGTATATATTAGGTTAATTTACTTGTATATAAGGGTCTAAAAGCCTTATATACTGAATGTTAGTACATAAGGGTGCTTTTAAAACGTTTGGTTACAATTTGTAAGTTGTCTTAAGAACTACGACTTTGATAAACAACCTTACAGTACAAATAAAAGATTATAGTCATGTTTCTTTATGTTTAATATATTTATAAAAACAGTTATTAAGTTTACATGTAAAACGTTCATTAAAAAAGATTTCTTTTTTATTGATAATAAATCATTTTCTTAGTAAGATGTCGTCTTTGAAAAATTCAATATATTTTTTACGTATTTTTTACTCTCGAGTCATTTGAATCAAAATAGCTTCACGATTATGAAAATAAATGAAAAATGAAACTATAATCACTTATTATTTTTATTGTAATTGTCATTTATTATTATAATATGTTAGAATATTCTTTACCAAATATCAAATGTATGAATACATCAGACATTAAAATATATTATTAATACATACATAATATTAAATTTATTAGGTACTCTTCCCAAAAGAGGGTTGATATCAGGCCGCCGGTCGTAGAAACAATTAGCCAATACTATGCACAACATGTAAGGCAGACCCTGGCTAAAGCTGGGAAATTGCCAGGTAGAAGAAGATTAAATTTATTACTCATATATCATATTTAATGCAAAAAAATACTTAAATACATTGACAGCTTCTGGATTTGTTTGTGTTTTGTCATACGAAGCTTCAAATATATATTATTCGTGGTTAGAATTGAATTTAAAACAGCAAAAATACAATTTCAAATCAAAATAACTTAGTTGTGATATTTTTTATACAAAATATACAACTTTATAATTTTTGTAATTTTTTGTAATACATATTAGAAATATTGAACACTGTTTGAGAAATCTTAAATTTCTTGATTTATTGAAAATAGTTTTAAATAAAAATATATACAGTATTACTTTGGAATCTACTTATATATAATTATATGTATTATTGACATAACGAGGACGCGGGTTCGATCCTGGCAAGTACCAATGTGATTGTTCCGAGTCATATGTACTTTATAAGAGTATTTAGACATCACTAAATAATGAAGGAAAACATCGTGAGGAAACATGGACTTATAATATCAAATTATAAGTTTGTAATCACCAACCCGTCTTGAGCGAGCGTGGTGATTAATGCTCAAACCTTCTCCATGTGAGAAGAGGCAGCTCAGCAGTGGACTCTGATAGGCTGATGATGATGATGACACAACTCCAATGTCTCGAGTTGTTTTAAAGCCTTATTAATATTAATGTGACAATTTCATGTTTAAAACATTTACATAATAATAATAATAAAGTATATATTATGAATGATGAAAATATAACATTCATTGTCAAATATTAATATTGTTATCGGTACAGTTTCAGATTTGTTTTTCAATGTTCAACGTTACTTCCAGTAATGTGTTACAAAATGTCTGAAGCTATATTTATAGTTTTCAAATACAAGTTGATACTTATATTGCATACAAAACTACAATGGTTCAGTATTATAATTAATTAGAATAATCAGTCATAAAAATATTTGTAAGCATTATAGGATGTTATAATTAGTACACAAATGGCACCACTTGTAACAATATGTTCTATAGGTTTTATGAAACAATCTTTGTAAATACTTTCAGACATTTAATATATTTTTCACTTTAAATTCGTGACAACAACTTTTTCATTGTTTTTCTTTAAGTATCCGTGTGTTTATTTAAGAGACAGCTTTATATACAAAACAAACTAATTAGGTATATCAATTGTATTTAATTAAAATAAAAAATTGTGAATACTGCCATCTATCGGCTAAGAATAACTTAATATAAACATTGTATAATTTTTCAATCCCAAAAATATTTTTGTTTAAATTTGTCTTAAGATAAGAATTATTTTGAAAAAGTGAATACATACATACAAAAAATTATTTTGTATTTAAAAATTTCTAACATATTATATTTGACGTAAAATTAGTAAAACCGCCATCTAGTGGATAAAAGTCGTAATCTTTTTAAAACCTATTTCATCTAATCATTCTGAAATTCGTCGCTAGATGGCTCTGACGCTTTTTAAAGATTTGCTATTACGCAGTTGTTTTAGTGTTTTAATTTGGTACAAATTTGATAAGATAAGATTATTGGAAAACATGTTCTCTTGATATTATCTTCTTATATTATGTAATATTCTTGGCAATTAAATGTATGATTTAGAATAAATTCTTTTGTTCAATATACCAGTTGTTTTGGTGGTTTTATGAAAAAAATATTTAGATCGGACCAGTAATTTAAATTTTACAGACGGATAACATAACAAATGTCCAAAATAAAACGGTTTAGTAAAAGACGCTAAGGTCGCTTCAGTCACCTCGCACAGAGATTTATACGAGTGAATCAATGTTGTGTTAGATATAGAATATACATATAATTCTTATTACAATATACATATAAGTAAGTTTCCGAGCACTATTACAACAACCTGTATACATCACACTCACCCTCTCACTAGTGAGTCTTAAATTACTTTTAATAATACATACAATATACTTTAGTATACGTCAGTGGTGTCCCAGTGGTCAAAAGGTCCACCTCTCATTTATGAGGGCGCGGGTTCGATCCTGGCTAGTACCAATGTGATTTTTCCGAGACGTATGTACTTTCTAAGAGTATGTAGATAATAGATTTCACTGATTATTGCATTCCCAAAGAGGGTTGATGTCAGGCAGGCGGCCGGCCGTAAAATCTATCAGCCAAAACTATACACAACATGTAAGAGAGACCCTGGCTAAAGCTGGGAAATTGCCAGGAAGAAGAAGAAGATGAATATTATAGACGGTGAGTGTACCTGAGAGAGTACGTGTAGCTGTCTGTGATTAGCTCCTACACCATCCTACGTACTGATGTACCAAACGATTATCAAATATATGAAAGTCGATAAAATGGTTTCAGTTATAATTATTTCATACTAGCTTTCCGCCCGCAGCTTCGCCCGCGTGGAGTTCGGTTATTTCGCGTTTCTAAGAGAACCTTTCAAAAGTCTGGGATAAAAACTATCCTATGTTCTTTCTCAAGGTCAACTCTATGTCTGTACGAAATTTCATTAAAATCAGTTCAGTGGTTTAGGCGTGAAAGCGTAACAGATAGACAGAAAAAGTTACTTACGCATTTATAATATTAGTAGTAACACGATATTTCTTTGAAATCGTAATATTTTAATTACTTATTTTTGAAGATATTTATCTTTTCTTCTGCTCTATTAGTTTTTAAATTTCATATTTTAATTTATTTAGCCAGATAAAGCATGGAAATAAGACTAGTATATTGGTTAAATGTTACGATATAGTATATGAGAAACAGTGTTTATCATTCTTGGTCAGATTGTTATATGTAGAAGTAGCTGTACATACCTGTACCATTCCTTTTGAAGCACCAGTAGAAGAAGTACGGCAACTCACTGTCTGCTATGACGAACCTGGAAATAATAATTTGAACCTGTCATCAATTCTTATTAAACCTCATTAGTATTCATGATTATTGTTAAAAGTAAAACGAAATCAAAGATTGTTTAACAGAGAATAGAACTATGGTTGAATGTTGGTCTAAATATAACGTCTGGACACACGACGGCAGGGTTGAGAGTTCAGAGAGTGCGTATCATTGAAGTATGTGATTATGAAGAACCTTCGACAAATACAGGAACATTAAGAACAGTTGAAGTTTCATTTTAAAATATCATGGAACGTACTGAAAGAAGTGACATTAGTAACGTCAGCGAGATTCTTTGTAAAAACAACGAATATGTAATAAATCCGATATATGTATATATATATGTGTGTTATTCCATAAAAACACGTTCCATTAAATTCTTATAATCATTTTCAACTTTTGAGTAT